ACATGGAATGTTAGTCTCTCCTTGTAGCAGTTTCCAAAGAAGCAATCGAGGGTCTAGTCTGCTGGACTCTGCCATTTATTTTCTTTGTCTTAGACAGTGAAGCCCACAGTTGTCCCCAGGGACTCTCCCAAGCTGACTGCCCCTTTCCGCTCCAGCCCTCTCTCACTAGCCTTCCAATCTCACTGCCAGGGGCACACACAGGCTTTGCAACTCGTGGGGCTGCACTTGGCTCATTTCCATCTGACTCCTTAGGAAAGCCACTCCCTCAAGGAAGGCTTCCTGGGTTTCTCACCCATAGAACACCAAGTTTCTCTGCAGCCTTCATCACCCTGGCATTGTTTCTGGATTGCCAGCTGGACTATAAACCCAGATAAAGGCAAGGTTCCTGTGTGTTGCTTGCCTCTGTATACACTGTCTTAGCACAGCTGCCATCTACGAACACTGGCCAGGGCAGGGCAGAGCGGGCCTTTCTGGGGAGTGTCACCAGGTTGCTACCTCTCTCACGTTTTACCCCAAAGGTAATGAAGTCTCCGTAAGAGAAGGACATCTCTGCTCATCACCCACGATTCCTTGAATGAGAACGCTGTTTAGTTGACAAGAAACATGTGTGTTTGGGTTAGCAAGCACGTGATTGAGAACACTGAGGACACATTTCCTGCTTTTGAATCATGGCCCTGAAACGTGGGGAAGTTCTTAACTTTTCTGGAACTCAGTTTCTTCCCCCTGTAATATACCACCAGTACCTGCCTTAGAAGGTTGGTGTAAACATTGAGTGAATATGGGATCCTATACAATTAGATGCCCACACATAAAGGATTTAAGGGCACATATAACAATCACTGTTAGTATTGTTGGACCAGTAGAGGTTGGGAAGAGCTCAAGGGTGACCCCCCTTCCACCCCAGTCCTGCTTAGTAGAATGATCCTGGTCACCATGGGCTTTTCTGCTGTGCCAAGGACTTGTGCCATGTTGGAGTGAGTGACTGGAGACAAGCTAACGGACTATGCCAGTGGAGGAGGAGATGACTTTGACGCTGGCACGAGAGAGGGAGGCAGGATTCACTTACCCATTCAATCAGCATTTACCACCTGTCTGTTTTGGTCTAGACAAAAGGAAAATCAGGCAGCCAGAGCCAATTGCTGGGGCCGACAAAGCAATCAAGAAGGAAAGAGGAACCAGCATTTGGGGTTTGGTGGGGGGGAGGAGACACCTTCCAGGGGCTGTAGCCCATCAGAGGACCACAAAGAGTGCAGGAAGCCTAGGGCCAGTGTCAGAGCATCTGCCATCGGATGTGTCAAGTAAACCTGTCCCTCCACCTCCCCTGGGAAACCTCTCAGTTTCCATGGATCACAGAGAGAGGGCTGAGAAATGAAAGAGGGAATCTGAGTTACAGCTGCAGGGGGAAAGATGCTACAGGCCACACAGCCCTCCCCCACCCCTGTGCACGTACAGTAGGTGCATATGGTGTTTCAGAACCGTAAATGACCACCCTGGGCACTCTGTAATGGTGCCAATAGCAATCACAGCAACTGCACAGAGAGGCTTTGGGGAGCTGCCTCTCCCTACCTAGAAAGGGGGACATGGCTAAAGTGAGGAGCCAGAGCCACCACCAGGCAGTCCTCTTGTGTTGAATCAGCAGCTCTAAACTGGCACTTTTAAACGGATAGCCTTACACTGAGTCCACCATATTCATCTTTCATGACTTCTACTCCTCTGCTTTTGTATCACCATCATCATCTTTTAACTTGTTTAACTAAAGAATTATGTGTTATAGAAAGTGAGGGAGAGGAAGAAAAGAAAGGGAGCAGGAGAGATTTTCTATCTGCTAGTTCATGCCATAAATACCCACAACAGCCGGGGTCAGGTCAGGCAGAAGGCAGGAGTCCGGACTTCAATACAGTTTTCCCATGCAGGTAGCAGGGATCCAACTTCTTGACTTACTCTCTGCTGCCTTCCAGGATGCGCACAGCAGGAAGCTAGCGCGGAGGCAGACCCCAAGCAGCCTCTTAGCCACCAGCCAGCTGCTGGGCCTCACCATCTTTTTCAGCACAATTTTTTTTAAATGTACAGCACACATTTCTTTTAAAACAACATCTCAGGAAATCGTCAGTCACCAACCTAAACAAAACTACCAATTTGCCTGAGTTTCCAAGAGTGGAATAAATAAAGCTCTGCTGAAATTTACCTACACAAATTGAGACTTTGGAGGGAAGACAGAAATAAAACAGTCTTTTTCGGCTTGAATTTGTTTACTGTATAAACCCTGGGGTGACTACATTTTAGAATGTGACGACTAAATAAAAAGATATACGGTCGCTTACTAATGTTCTCAGAGCATTATGCAAATTCACCGCAGGTATATTTCACTCCAAGTTATCACGTGAATATGGAAGCATTTTGTAGTTAACAAGGCTAAAATATGTCAATGCAGATAGCTTGCTTTCCATAAGATTTTCTATTAAATCATTAATGAGAAAATAAAGACAGCTTGGGTGGTCGAGTATGAAATGCAAATGAGTAACTTGGATTCTCAGACCTTGCTACCCAATGCTTATATTTAACTTATATTTAACTTTCATAAGGCAGAGTGTAGTATCATGCCACAATGCAGCCGGTGCCCCCAGATTTGCTGACCGCAATATTGAAACTATGATTTTTAAGCACTTTAAAAAATATTTGTTTATTTTACTGTAAAGTCAGAGTTACAGAGAGAGCAAGCCAAGGAGATAGAGAGATAGCTTCCACCAGTTGGATCACTGTTTAAATGGTTGAGCCAACCAGGGGATGCCAGCACTAAAGCCAGGCTTAGCCTACTATACCACTGTGCTGGCCCCAGATCCCTAAGCGCCTTTGAACAATGACAAGGTCTGGGGAAGACCACACATATGATGAAATGGGTGGATTGAGAACATGCAGGGGTGGATGTTTAGCCTTGATGGTAAGATGCGTGTTAAGATGCCTGCACTGCTCTGGACATGTCTGGTTCAAGTCTGGGTCTGCTCCCGACCACAGCTTCCTCCTAAATCACACCCTGGGAGGTGGCAGGTTACGGCTCAAGCAGTTGATGCTTTGTCACGTCCCAGGGAAACCCAGAACAAGTCCCTGTTCCTGGTTTTGGCCTGATGCTATGGACACTGAAAGGGAAGGGAACCAGTGGACGGGACCTCCATCTGCCATTTTGACTCTAAAATGAATATTAATAAACTATTTAAAAATTAACAAAGCATTAGAATGAAGCAGAGACGAACCTAGCCCTCTTTAAATGAATGCAAAGTACCAGTAAACTTCTCAGAGAATGCAGTTATTATTAGGATGAAGAATTAGTTTTTCTTTTCTTTTTTCTTTTTTTTTTAAAGATTTATTTATTTTTATTGGAAAGTCAGCTATACAGAGAAGAGAAAAGACAGAGAGGACGATCTTCTGGCCAATGATTCACTCCCCAAGTGGCTGCAATGGCCAGTGCTGCACCGATCCGAAGCCAGGAGCCAGGCACTTCCTCCAGGTCTCCCATGTGGGTGCAGAGTCCCAAGGCTTTGGGCCATCCTTGACTGCTTTCCCAGGCCACAAGCAGAGAGCTGGATGGGAAGCGGGGCTGCCGGGATTAGAACTGGCGCCTATATGGGATCCCAAAGTACGCAAGGCGAGGACTTGAACTGCTAGGCTACCGTGCCAGGCAATCTTTTTTTCTTTTCCTTTCTTTTCTTTTTTTTTATGCAGAAAGACTGTAAACATTATTTCCATTTTCTCAGAAAAGCCACTGCCTCCTACCGCAGGTACCTGACGATGCAACTGCCCTCAGACGCAGTGGTCAGTAAGCCTGGCTACTTCCTTTCATCTGACCAGGAAGAGGGCTCCGGGCAAAGCACAGTGACACACACCGTCCGCCCTGGCCTTAGCCAGTGATGACCCTTACTGCCTCCTGAAGTAACACTCATCGCACACTGGTAAGCTTGGGCCAGTACCGACCTTTCTTTCTTCCTTTTTTTTTTTTTTCTTTAAATCTCAAATAAGAAGACTTCAGGGATTCACCAATTTCTGTTGAAAATATCATATATATTTTTAAAAATATTGTAATAAACATTATAAATATCTTATATTTATGTTGTACATTATATTTTATATAGTGTATATTTGTCAATATATTATAAATATAGATCATATGCATATGAATTGATTTAGTACCTCCGGGGAAATTGTGAAGCCTGTGGTGGTTTTCCTGAAGAGCTGGATTATTTCTGAGATAGCAGCTCTAAATGATGCTTCAAGCAGGTGCCAAAAAATCCTGTTTATTTTAAGTCAGAGTGCTCAACCTCTGGAAGATGGCGCCACCTTTCAGAAAAACACTCCTATGCCCAGCCTTTTCCACCGCAGGAGCAGCCGGAAGGACACACCCTTCATCAACCATCGCACAAGGAAGCACACCGCAAAAAATTCTGGAAGCTTCCCTGGAACTGGCTGCTTCTCTGCAGGGGAGAAATAAACTTTACCAGGTAGCAGTGGCTTCAGGAAAGAAAAACACATTTTTGGTCTGTTTGTTTTGTTTTTCCTCTCACAATTTTTTTTAATACCGAATCAGGTTTACTCAGAGGCGAGTTTTCTGCAGTGTTAAGTTCGCGGACCGTTGGTATCCCTCCGCCTTTTTTTTTTTTTTTTTTTGAAATTACAAAATACCTCCTGTCTCGTCAGAATGGCGGGAATACCAAGTCCGGAAAAATTAAATGTCTAACCCTGCAGATATTCTAGATGGTACACATGCCAATAAAAATTAATACCCATCCCTTGCATCTAACTACCCAAAACCCAGAAATCTCAAGTTTGCATTGAAAAGGGGCGTGAAAGAATGCAAGGGTCTTCTTGCAGGCCGTCCTTGGACGTTTCTTGGGACATACTGTGCGCCGTTTTGTTACAAGTGTATCCAATGTCCCCGCACCGGGGACTTGTGGGATGTGGTGCCTTGCCGCGCCACTTGCTCGGCAGCTTCCAGAGGTGACGGTTGCAGCATGAAGGCGGACCCTGCAAAACTGGCCGACAAGATTCTGCGCACCCCCAAATGCTCCAGGTGCCGCAACCATGGCTTCCTGGTGCCTGTCAAGGGCCATGCAGGCAAATGCCACTGGAAGCAGTGCACCTGCGACAAGTGCTACCTGATTACAGAGCGCCAGAAGATCATGGCCGCACAGAAGGTGCTCAAGAAGCAGGGCTTGGAGGAGGAGCAGGAGCTTGCCCAGGTCCAGGCCCCAGGCCCGGTTCCCCGGGGGCCTGAGCTGGCTGTTGCAACCGGAGTTGGGGCCGCGGCCGTGGCCACCAGCCAGGGCTCAAGCCTCTGCCCGCTGCTTCCACTGCCTGCTGCAGGAGGTCCTGAGCCGGGCCCTGATGGCCGCGCGGCAGTCTACCTTTGTGAGAGGCCACCGCGAGGTCCTAGCCCTGGCCCCAGTGCCTTCCAGCCTGTCCTGAGTGGCCGCAGCCAAATGGCGGCCCACTTCGGGTTGGAGGCCCCAGGCCTGCGTGACCTAGGCGGCCTAGGCGGCCTAGGCGGCCCTGGCCACCAGGAGTTGTGCAGACCGCTGCTGCCTCCACCAAGCCCGCCGTTCGCCAACTTCGGTAAGATCCCAGGGCCCTGCTTGGCTTTGGTGCCGCTGTCCAGTTCCCCTTCGGGCTGCAGGCCCACTGCGTCCCAAACTTGCGGCCTAGGCCCTGATCCCGTTGGAATGGGCTGCCGGGCTAGGGGGCCTTAGAGTCTTGAGGAGGGGAAAAAGCGCTTGGCTCTGAGCAGCCTTTCTCTAGTCAGAGATTTGGGTCGGTGTCTTTTTATAGAAAGGACGAAGAGAAAGGGTGATCCAGAGGACTTTTAACATTCTGTTGTAGTTTTGTCTTTAAAAAAGATGGCCCCCGTCGCCCTCTTAGCAGTGGCTCCCCCTGGGCACGCTGAGCGAGATCTGCAGCACTGCGCTTGCGCACCTCTTTCTGCTGGTTTCTGGAGGGGGGCCTTTGGTAGACAGGTGGAAGGCGCACAACTGTGAATACGCATGTGCATCCCCTCCCTTTTCCGGGGGCGAGAGGCCCCTCCTGCGCCTGTGCGGTGCTTTCCGCCATTTTGTCAGCCATTTTGTCAGGCTGTGGGCTGTGCGCCCAGAACGTTCCCGGGAGCGTTTGTGGGTCTGGCAGGTGTTTTCTGCCGTTCCTTGGCCAAGCGGCTTCTCCTTCTGCTGCACCCTGGCCCAGTGTGCACCAGCGTTCACCTTGCCAACCTTCCGTCCTATGTGGGAGCAAAAGAGGTGGCCGCCCCTACTCTCCAGAACAGTGTACCAAAACGTGATTGTTTTTCCAGCTCCATTTTGTACGTAAACTATATGTTCCCCATGTCTTGTTGCTTTTATATACAGTTTTAAGTCTGGTGAAGAATTTCTTGGAGTTTTTTTTTTGTCACTGAGGATTTATGTGTTTTGGAAGGACTACAGGGAGGGGAAAAGGCAGCCTTCCGTGTACTGTTCAGTGCCCAAATGCCCGCAGCGGCCGGAGGCTGAGCCATACCTCACTTAGTCTTGGTCACCGGGTGTAGGTGGTCCAGACCCAAGTGCTTGAGCTTAGCAGGAAGCAGGATCAGAAGCCGGGGAGCCGGCAGCTGAACCCCAGCTCTGCCCGACGTAATGCCGGGCTCCCACATGACCGTCTGCCCTCATGTGTGAAGAGTTTTAAAAATCTAGCCTGTTTCTCTCTCTTTACTGTGACACGTGTTCTTGGTATTTCTCCCATGGTGACATGGTAGAGAGGGTGTGCCGTCTGAGGTCTCTCACGTTGTAACCTTGGACAGGTTCTTCCAGGGACTTACCCAGAAAATCTATGTCTCAGGGAGCTAGCCAGCTGGTGGGAAAACAGACCCCCTCCCAGCAAGCCTAGGAGAAGCTTTCTTTTCCGGAGAGGTAGTGCTGTTGGTGGCTGTGCAGCAGCAGGCCCCATACACTGGCACCTAGGAACAGGTAGGGGCACATACTGCTGGCCACCTGGGGCTCTGGAGGGATGCTGGTCACCCATCAGGAGTCCACCAACAGAGCTCTGCTGAGAGCAGGAAGGGCTGGTAGAGATGTTGTGCAGCTGAGCCATCATAGCAAGTGCCAGAGGTGGAGGGGGTACAAGTGTACTGATCCACTGGGCACTGTGGCCTAGGGCGCAGGACACAATGGGATGCTGGGGGGAGGGTTTTCCCTCAGCAGTGGGGAGCTAGCTGGGAGCTCTGACCCGGTGCTGCTGCCCAGCAGGACCCAGTGGAGGCAGAAACAGCCTGGTGGAGTAGGAAGGGGCAGAGATGGGTAAGGGAGATGGGAGTGGGGGTGTCATTCAGGGGCCCAGTCCAAGGGAGGCTGTACTACTACCCCAGGCTGGAATGTGCTGCTGGGGCCCCAGGTCCACCTATCTTAACTTCCGTCTTACCAATTGCTTTCCTCAGGGCTGGCTCTGAACATCAACATGGATCGCCCTGTTGGGCCTGAGTACCTGGAGCGAGAGCCTGGCAAGCTGTACCCAGGCTGCTCGGTGGGCATGCACCCCTTCCGCCCATTCCCACTAGGCTACCAAGATGCAGCTCCACCTCCGGGCCTGCCAGTGCAGGCTGGCTTCCGGCATGTGTCCTGCACCCAGTATCCCAGTGGAGGCCTGGTGAGTCCCCTCCTTGTCCCTGCTGCCCTTGCTCAGATGAGGAAGTGACTGTTATCCCCCCAGGACAGCCACTCTGCACCAAGTTTCCCAGTAGGAAGGACACAGGCTTGGCTGCAATGTATGTAACAAGTGAGGTCACCCCTGTTGGGTGGGGCATGTGGCTGGATTCTGCAGCTTCAGATGCCAGCTACCAGATCAGGATAGGTATGGGGCCTTTAGACTTTGACCATCTTGGAGGAGGACTGCTAGAGCTGGGGCCCAGAGAGAGGCCAGTGTTGGCTGGGGTCCCCCGAGCTTGGGCCTTTGGGGGTGGACAGTTACTACAACAGGTACCACCATTCTTCAGGTGCTGTCACCTAAAGGCCTGCCCTTTGGGGATCCCAGACACTGCCCCTGCAGGAAGGTGGAAAGGCATGAAGGAAACATGTGGGCTTCTTAGTTTAACAAAGGCAGCAGGAGATGCAGGTCCTGGGCTGTAGTCTTGTAGTGGATCCCAAGGGTTCCAGGGCACATGCCTGCTCTCCTGTGTTACCCCATCAGCCTCTTTCCTGCCTGCTGCGCATACTGTTTTCATTCCACTGATGCAAGGGAAGAACATTTGAGAACACTAGCTGTCTTCCGGCCCTTCTGAGAGCCTTCAGAGGAGTCTTAGGATGCCAGGCAGAGTCGTGGGAAAAGGCTCAGTCGAATTCAGCCTTTATCCAAGGTTGTGAAGTTGGGGCATGAGGGACTTGGATCCAGACAACACAGCTGGTGGTGTCACTGGGACACCTGGTCCCCTGAGCTCTCTGCTGCCCCAGGCAAGTCTCAGGCCAAGGAGGGCAGGTGTGGCCCCCAGTCCTCCTCATGACTGCACCTTGGCCTGTGATCCGTGGGCACTCCTTTGGTTGCTCCCCTTCCAGCCCAGGGGAAAGAAAGCAAGATGTCCCCAGCAGCCGCCACACAAAGAGGGGCTCTGGCCAAGCGGGGCCCTGAGCACCGTCTGCTCACGCGGAATCCCAGGGCCTGACGTCCAGGCTGGCTATTGATCTACAGGCCTGACAGATGCCTTTGTGCCAAGTGCAATCTCAGCTGGGAGGCCGGGCCAGGCATCCCTCACAGGCCCAGGCAGGAGCTGTGATCCGGGAGGGGAGAGGGAGGCTTGGCTGAGCAGCCCAGAATTGAAGCACTGACATTCCCCCATCCTCCCCCTCATGTGCAGATCAGGCCTTTATTTGCCAGACTTTTTTGAAACCAAGAACCCATGGGTTCCTTTCTGCCTATGCTGTGTCTCTTGTCTAGGTTTTGAGATGGGCCCCAGGGATGCCCCAGCCTTCTCCTGTCTCCTACAGTCTCCTCTTCATGACCCTGAGATTTGATCCCTTCTCCATCGAGTGACCTGGCAACCACACCTGGGGTGGGGGCAGGAGCACCTAACTTCTGGGGCCCTGAATAACAAGGGGTGGTGCATTTAAGACGCCTCACTCAGGGTCTGGCACGTTGCAAGTGCCTTGGGGTGGGGAGTTTGTTTACTCCTTTGTGGTCAGGAAGGATAGGCGTCCCAGAGGGAGCTGGTTGCAGGCTGCTTGGAGCTTTTAAGGTGCTGCCAGGAGCCCCTCCAGGTGACTCAGCATGTGGGGCATTCAGCCTCACTTAGAGGAGAACAGTTTCTTCAAGAATCCTGTCTTTTATTTTCATTTAAAAATACACTCAAAAGCCAGAGAAATACAGAAACCTGCTGCCTACTGGTTCAGCCCGCAAATGGCCGTGGTGACCAGCGCAGGCCAGGCTGAAGTCAGGAGCTCGTTGGCTGGGTATGAGTACTCCAGTCTTCATCTGCTGCCTCTGGAGTCTGGATCAGGGTCGGGCCGAACAGGAAGCAGTCTGTGGGTTTGAGAGACCCCAGAACCTTCTGTGGCACCTGATGGTACAGATCAGTGGGCAGTGGCCTCACACATGGGTAGGGTTTGCAGCTGCCTTTGCCAGCTCCCAGCTCTGTGGCTTGGGCCTGTGGTTTCATCTCCCTGCATCTGCTTTTCGTCCTCTTGGGAGAACAGTAGTGACACCCCATTGCCCTGGCTGGCTCAGGAGGCTGTAGATCCAGTCGTCATGCTTGCATTGTCTCTTGCCTTGGATCACTCAGCAGGGGTTGACACAACACCGCACCCACAGGATTCTGTACCCTGTGTTCTGGACTAGAGGCGGTGCTTTCCTGAAGGGGGACTTCCATCTGGGAAATGACAGGCACACCTACGGGCCCCTGGCTCACTGTCCCCCTCTGCCTCTTGGCCACACATGCCATACAGGTGTCAGAACCAGTGGGAGACTTCCAGCCGACTTTCTACCCGCTGCCACTGCCACCTGTTCAGCCACCGCAGCCCCCGTACCTGCCACCAGGCTTCCTCTCGGCGCTCCACTTTCTGCCGCCGCCACCGCCACCACCACCATCACCCTCCTTCTCACTGACCATCCTGTCTGACACAGACAGAGAAAATCCTGGTAAGTGGGTCCCCCCTCCTGGACCTCCAGCCATTGTGGAGAATGGGGAGTCTCATTACAGCCAAGTAGATGGTGAGCTCAGGGCCTCGGGACGTGCCCTGAGAGGTCCTGGAGGATGTACATGGCAGAGCTGGGAGGTGCACAGAGCTCTCTGGTTCCAAGTCTGATGCCCACTCCCTTAGCATGGTGCCCACCCTTAGCATGGTGGTCCTATGCGTGAAGGGGTATGCATGTGTTGGGTATCGGGCTGAGCCTGCAACAGCAGGAACCAATCTGGGACAGGTGGGACTGGACCCTCTGCCCAGACCACTGTGGAGCGACCCTGTTCTTGGCAGCTCCGCCACTGGTGCCCGGGGCTCTGTTGGGCACTCACAGGTCAGTCTCTTTAGCACTGCACTGGTTTCCCCTGAGAGGTTTCAGTGAGGAGCAGGTGAAGTTCTGAAAGTGAGAATGCTCTCAGTCGATTTTCCTTTTTGAGGGCTTTGCTGCCCAAAGCATCTAGGGCTTTCTTCCTCCCAGTCTTCCTCCAAGTTGCCTCTATATGCAGAGGTCTAGCTAACTCATGGCGAGTCAGCACACAGTGGCCTAGTGATGTCACTCCCATTTTCCTGAGGGGAAGCCAGAGAGGCCTGTTGCATATTTGCTGTGCACATACTGTCTCACCTCCTTAGCTGGGGAGGTGGTAGGCTGGCTTGAATCACTCTAGGCACTTTAATCAGCTGGGGAACCCTGGGCAAGGTCATTTACTCTGGGGTGCCTCAGCTTCAACATGTGCAAAAATGGGTTAATAATAGTCCCTCTCCTTGTGACGTCACTGAGAATTAACTAGAGCTTAAAGTTGATGAAGGCATGAGTGGAACTTGACTCATTGTATGTCACCTGTATGTCACCTGGTCCCCAAAAAGCATTGGCCCATTCTGCAGGAGGGCAAGCATCAGAGCTATGGAGTTCCCTAGCCGGATACATGCCAGCCAGTTTGTGTGATGGGCCAGACTGCAAGTGTACCCTATGGCCAGGGCTGCAGTTCCAGGCTCAGGATGCAGAGCAAATTCAAATTCATATTCCATAGGGCTGAGATGACATGGGAGCCTCACAGAGGTCTGCACCTGGAAGCAGGTGTAATTGCTCTGCCTAATCACAGCCACCTCCTTTCTCCTCCACAGAAGAGCTGGAGGCCCAGACCATGGAGAAGGCTGAGACCCCAGAGGAGGCCCAGACCCAGGAGGAGCCCCATACCCTGGAGCAGCCCCAGATCTGGGAGGAGTACCATCAGGTGGAGTGCAAGGAGCACTCCAACTAAATTCAGCCCACTACTGGGCCAGCGCGTGGGAGAGTGGGGGTGGGAGGGAGGGGAGGGGAAGAGGTGACAGCCACAGTTTTCTTATCTGTATTCAATGATGTGTAGGCAGGTAGAAGTTGATTCTTGTCTGGGGGGAGGCGGGAGGAGGGTGACATCCAGAATCTGGCAGCCCAGAATGGGATCACCAGAGGGTCAGGCACCAGGGAGTGGCGCAGCTGGAAGCCTGCGTGTAGGAATGAATTTAGCTGTCCCAGTGTGCTGCTGGGTAGGGAACCAGCTCCGGCAGCAGTCTATGAATTCCTCTGGCCCCACTCAGCACTGAAGGTGCCATCTATTTTTGAGCCTTCTGCTGCATTTGCCTGGTCCCCAGGGGACTGGAGAACCACTGGCATCAGCTCTCAGCCCCTTGAGTCCATCACGAGCGGCCAAGGGCGTTGACAGCAGGTTCTGCAGCGTCCGGTGTTGATTGCTCCTCCTTCTTGGCCAATACTCCTCTTTGTCCGCGGGGATCCCACTAGCCAGCATCCTGACCCCCGGAGCCACGTTTAAGTCCTGATAGGCATTGTTTTTGGTTTTAGAAAATCTAGTTTGATCTTTGATATTTTTATAGCTGTTTCTGACTTCAAAAAGCAGGTTGCTCCCAAGCACTTATGAGACGTCAATGGTTTTGTCTCTGGGTATGGGGGTTTCTACAATAAAAGTGTACAGTGGAGATCCTTGTGCATGATTTGTTCTTTCCCACCCATTGAAAGCTGCATTAGGAGCCTGGAGGGGGTTGGGTCGGGGTTGGTGGCCTGTTGCCTGCTGGCCTGTCGTATGTCCCAGCTCAGGCAGGGCCCTCTACCTTGGTTATCCAGCAGGAGTGCTGGGCCAGGCCAGTGGATGTCTCTACTTCTTTTATTGCTCCGATTAAACAGCAGATACCTTTGAAGGGAATCCAATGTGGACAAACACATTGTCAAGAGTTCAGTTTTCCATCTAGCTTCCATCCAGGTGGCTGTGGGAGGGTAGAGGGGGCACATTTTTGCCAAGCAGAGCTTGATCTCATGGTGCTGTTTCAGGGCCCTGGGCCTCGTTCCTTGGTTTCCTTGGAGCTTTCCTTTAAGAAACATCACATGTTTCTCCTGCCTTCACACCATGGCTAGCTCCAGTTCTGCCACAGAGGAACATGGACGTGACCAATAATCTGATGAGACGGGGCTGGATCAAAGCTGTAAAGGCTGGGGTGGTCAGACAATGCTCTCAGCTGCATCTTTTTTTTTCCTGTAATTTTTTTTTTCCAATTTGTGCATATGGGAGAGCTTTGGCCTGATCCAGAGCGGCCCTCTGGATTCCCCTTCCTGATCCACCCCATCTGAGCTCCCTCAGTTACCTGTGGGTGCAGTGGTCAGGTGCAGTGAGCCTCCAGAAATCATCCTATATGTGTCAAACAAGCCCTCAGCGGCCGCCATTCCAGCCTGTCCCCAGTCCTTCACTCCTTTAGTAATGCATGCCCTCCCCATGCACTTGAATGATCTGGAAGGTGGACAGTTAATGTTCGCCTACCTCGAATGCACTGGCAGGGCGCCGCCGGAAGGGGGAGCCCGGGACCCCTCCCGCCACGCCGGTCGGGCGGGGCCCGTTGCCTAGACACCGGGGCTGGGAGTGGGCAGCGCCTGTTGCCTAGACACCGGGGCTGGGAGTGGGCAGGGCCTGTTGCCTAGACACCGGGGCTGGGAGTGGGCAGGGCCTGTTGCCTAGACACCGGGGCTGGGAGTGGGCAGGGCCCGTTGCCTAGACACCGGGCCTGCGGGAACGCGCGCCTGCAGCTGGGTGTGGCTCCGCACGCGGGGCTGGAGGATGCCGCACACTGCGAGGCCGAGGCCGGGCGTGCCGCTCCCACTGGAGTAGTGGGGTCTCCCCGGGAAGCATGGACCTGGGAGCACTCAGGAGCCTGGGCCCACGCAGGAGCCGCCTCAGCGCCTCCCTGTGCGGCGCTGCCTTGCGCGCCTGGCCCTCTTCCGCCCTCCTGCGCCCGTGACGCATGGCAGGACCTTGCTGTTGCTGTGGCCTGCTCCCGACATGGCGCTGGGCTCAGGGGGATCCGGCAGCAATGCAGGGCCTGTTGGGAACACATGGAAGGGTTTTCGGGCATCTTGTAGACCAGGGGTGGCGGGTAACGTACTACCGCGACTTTTGCCACATGTTTTTGCCCTGGCTCCTGTGCCCTCCACGGTGGGCCTCCCTGGAGTGTTGACAATGCGCGGCCCTTGGGTCTTTCAGCCCTCTGCTTAAGGACAGTGTGTGTCCTCTGCGTGGCGGTGATCTGCCCACAGCCAGTTTGTGAGAGACCCAGGCTATGTGACCCGGGCTGCACCCCAGTGTCACCGCACCTCTGGGCGCCAGTAGGAGGTTTTGTTTTAAGATTTATTTGTTTATTTATTTATTTTTATTCAAAAGGCAGATTTACAAAGAAAAGGAGACAGATCATTCCCCAAATGGCTGTGATGACCAGAGCTGAGATGAGACGAAGCCAGGAGGACAAGTTCATGGAGGAGCAGGCATTGCACATCCCAGATCAGAGAGCCTTTTCAACTTGCAGTTCCTCCACTTGCCATCCAGTTTCTTGAGGATGTTGGCGGCAGTGGGTGATGCTTCACGTACCTGGGTCCCTGCCATCCTGGGAGACCCAGGGTGGTGTTTCCAGACAGGCCCAGGCCTGTCTTCTGTGCACCTTTGAGGACTAAGGAGAGGCTGAGGGATCCCTCTGTGTCTCTATTGCTCTACATTTCAAATAAAATCCAAATGTAAAAGGAACTGGACTCGGTGCAATAGCCTAACAGCTAAAGTCCTTACTTTGTACACGCCAGGATCCCATATGGACACTGGTTCTAAACCAGGCAGCCCTGCTTCCCTTCCAGCTCCCCCTACTTGTGGCCTGGGAAAGCAGTCGAGGACAGCCCAAAGCCTTGGGATCCTGCAACCACACTGGCGACCCAGAAGAGGCTCCAGGCTCCTGGCTTCGGATTGGCTCAGCTCTGGCCACTTGGGGAGTGAATCATCAGATGGAAGATCTTCCTCTCTGTCTCTCCTCTTCTGTCTATATCTGACTTTCCAATAAAATAAATAAATAAATAATTTTTAAAAAAAATGAAATTAAAAGAATTAGAGATATAAGCCTTGTTCCTCAATAGACTATGAAGTTCAAGATACTTGCCAACATTCCTGAGGGTTCCAGGAATGTAGCTATGTTGGTGCAGTCCTTCTTACATTATTAACTGGAAAAAATAATGTTCCCCTTGAAGACAAAACAGAAGCCACAAAGAACCAGGAATGCAAGGTGGTACCCAACGATTTCCTGCTAGAACCCTTGCAAAATCGCACTTTCTTGAGAAGGATGAGCAAGAGTGTTCCAGTGGGCAAGGACTCTCAGGAGAAGCTGTCTAAGTTTTCTACTACAATACTGGTTAACTCTCCAGACACTGCCACAGTAAGGCACCGTTGTCATTCTTGGACCTCCCAGAAAGCCAGCAGAATGCCTTGGGCATCCTGAAACACTGCTGCCACTTCTGCTCTCCAGCAGTATGGGTTTGCAGGATTGGACCATGTCCAGCCTTGGTAGCCATTGCTTTGATTGTGCCTGTCTTACGGATCATGGTGGTAAAGCCAGGTTTTGTCTCCTGTTCCAGTACTTTCTAGAAATGTGGAGTCAGGATCTTTATCCCTCTTGTTTTCAATTTCCACTGGAAACTTGGCTCTGGCATCGGTTTTGCCTCCCTTTAAACAGTAAGTGTTCTCCACTTCCAAGTTTGGGTCAAATTTGTGTGATCTTAACTGATTCAGAGGTCTGCAGTGTTGGCCTCCGTTTCATCATCGCTTCCAATCAATTAGGACATGGATCACACTTTTTTTTCCCTTGAGAATTTATGTACATGCTCTGCCACCATGGGCTTCACCTTCAATTTATTTATTTTTATTGGAAAGGCAGATTTACAGAAAGAAGGAGAGACAGAAATAAAGATCTTCCATCCACTGGCTCACTCTGCAAGTGGCCACAATGGCCAGAACCAAGCCAATCTAAATCCAGGAGCTTCTTCCAGGTCTCCCACGTGGACACAGGGTCCCAAGGCTTTGGGCCATCTTCTGCTGCTTTCCCAGGCCACAAGGAGGAAGTTGGATGAGAAGGGAGCAGCTGGGACATAAACCAGCACCTATACGGGATGTCGGCCTGCGCTAGGTGAAGATTTGGCCACTGAGCTGTTGTACTTGGGCCCAGGTTTTCTTTTTAAACCAATATATTATCCTTCTTTTAGGAATATTTATTTAAAAAGCAGAGCAAGAGAGAGAGAGAGAGAGAGAAATCTTCCATACATATAGCCACGGTAGCAGGGTCATGACAACCTGAAGCCAGGAGCCAGGAGCCTGGAACGTCATCCAGGTCTCCTATGTGGGTACACAGACCCAATGACTTAGCCCTTCCTAGTTTCATTTCCCAGGGGACTGGATCGGAAGTAGAGCAGCTGGGACAGCAGGACTAGGAGCAGTCCCCATATGGGATGCTGACAGCAGCAGCTTAACTTATTATACCACCGTGCTGGGCCCAGCAAGGTTTTTGTTGGTACTTTTTGTTTGTTTGTTTGTTTGGTTTTTGATCCCCTAGATAGAAGTGGGTCTAGAAGGCACAAGTCACTTAACTGAACGTTGGACTCTGAGTCCCCTGGAACCTGCCCTTGTGTACTGTGGGACATGGCAGAGAAGCGGCTGCCACAAGCCTGTGGACACACACAGGCAGGTACATGTTGCACAGCACCTGCCAGCCAGAGCGTGAGGGAGGCTGCGTTAGCACAGCCCTGGCTACCCTGCCTGGAGGCTGTGAAAGATGCTTCTGCTCGCACTTCTGGGACCACCCACTTCCGGGGAAGGAGAGCCAGCCTGAGCTGTGGATTCACACTGCCTCGTGGGCAGGACCCAAGCATGCTCGTGGGGCCTGGAAAGCTGGGACAAGCCAGTACGTATTAGAC